GAAATCGGAGATCTACCTGTTTTCAGGCAACTGTTTAGTAAGTTTAGACTTGTGTGGTCTTGAAGTTGTCTGGGTGAAGTTTTTTTTTTTAATGTTTTTCTACGTGGTATAGTTTTCTTATCTTCCCTGCATCACTGTTAGCATAAAATGATACAGAGTAATAATAAAAGAAGTGCTAATAAGACCCAACATTATCCAGCCAGCATTTCCTATGCTAGGTTCTAAGGATGGCCTCAATCCTAGATTCACAGTTTATTTTCTGCTTGGAGATATAACTAAACACTCAGATTGTAAAAATACCAACTGTGATAAGTGGTGTAAAGGGTGTCTGTGTAAGGGAGCATTTGAGCAATTTAGGGAGATCAATAAAGACTTCCTGGGGATAAGTTCATCTTTAACATTTGTAGGGTACAGTGCAAAATGAAAATTTGAGGTTCTTGCTCACAGACTAAAGACTCCAGGACTAGGACAGCAGAACACTTAAGTAGGTCCTTCCCAAGTGCTGGCTCTGTTCAGCTGCATGGGTTATATATCCACAAACCAGACTCTCCCTGAGCAAGTGATGTTTGAACTGAGCTGTGATGATGTAAGAGGAGAGAAAGATAATTCTAAGTAGAGGAAAGAGCACAAAAGAGTTTTTGGGCAGGAGAAATAGCGGTGGATTCAGAAACTGGAGGAAGAGCATTATGGATGGAATGCAGGGTGGGAAGGACTCGGGAGGAGGTGTGTGATGGGTAGAAAGAGTGACTTTCCAAAGGCCAAGAAGGATCTGGCACATCAAGTTGAGGGTTTGAGTCTTCATTCCAAGTACCACATATAACTCTTGGTATGGTCTAGGCATAAGAAACTTACACTTTGACAGTATTGAACAACCCTTTCTCCCAACCTCTATTTCTTAACCAACTCCTTTTTAAGAAACTATTTTAGGGGGCTGGAGAGATGACTCAGAGGTTAAGAGCACTGGCTGTTCTTCCAGAGGTCCTGAGTTCAATTCCCAGCAACCACATGGTGGCTCACAACCATCCGTAATGAGATCTGGTGCCCTCTTCTGGCCTGCAAGCATTCATGTAGGCAGAACACTATACACATAATAAATAAATCTTTAAAAAAAAAAAAGAAACTATTTTAGTTTTACCTTTTCTAGTTATTCTGAGGCTGCTCCTTCTCTAAGGATGTTTAAAATGGCCTTTCCTACTAGGGAGTGGTTTAGTAGTGGAAACTGAAATTGCATAGGGGTAAGTGATATGAAATATACTATTGGAGGTAGTCCAAAACAACGGAAGTCTAAAGTCAACTGAAGAACAGTTAGTTAGAAACTGAAAGTGTTTTATTGTTTTAAAAATAATTTAAAAAATGCTACAGGTATTATAAGTCTATTGTCATCACTATGCTTTAAAAATGTCCACCTCCCTTTATTTGATACATAATTCAGGGCAAGTGGTGGAGTGGATATTGCCTTGCTTGACATTGGGAAAGAGAAAAGTGGAGAAAAGGTTGTCTTTTTGGACTGCCTCTTTAGTCGGGGGTTCACAATAAAAGGCTTTAATTAATGTTATTCACGGCAAGAAGTAGTCTTTGTATTTTGCCATGTGTGGGTGACAGTTGTTCATGATTCTTGGATTTACTTAGATCAGTGCTTCTCAACCTTCCCAATATTGTGACCCTTTAATACAGCTCCTTATGTTGTGATGACCTCCAACCCTAAAATTATTTCTTTGCTACTTCATAACTGTAGTTTTGCTGCTGTTAGGAATCATAATGTAAATATCTGATATGTTCGACCCCAAAGGGGTTGCGACCCACAGGTTGAGAACTGCTGACTTGGATAGACTGGAACCTCCATGGATTGTTAATAGAGCTAGCAATGTGCCACCCAAAGTGGGGTTTTCACTTTTGGCACACTTACAGAATAGTGCTAGTGATTTCTTTTCCCACATTATAATTATTTAAACTAGGTCACTTAGACTGTGCTAAAAGGTAAGCCAGGCAGTGGTGGCACACACCTTTAATCCCAGCGCTCAACAACAGGCAGAGGCAGGTGGATCTCTGTGAGTTCAAGGCCAGTCCAACCCTGTCTCGAAAAACCAAAAAAAAGAAAAAAAAGAAAGAAAGAAAGAAAGAAAGAAAGAAAGAAAGAAAGAAAGAAAAGAAAGAAAAGAAAGAAAGAAAGAAAATCAGTGGTGTTTGTATACTCCGAGATGTTCAGGGTGAGTTAAGTAGCAGGTCATTTTCTGCATACATTTTCTTACCTGTTGATCCATGACACTAGAATTCCCAGGTGCTAAAATAAAATTGCCACATAGTTTCATCAATCTACTTGCTTACTTATTTAAACTGATATGTTCTATTTGTGAAGAAAGTATCAAATGTTTGGTACAGTTTCTTCCTGGGAATTTATTTTCAATAACTTATGAGTTGAAATATAATTTATATATTGGACCAGACAAAACATTAACCCCCTCTACCTTAGTTTCCAGCTGTAGGTCTTCATACCAGAGCCTTTGATATTGATAGACAACTTACTTGCAGTCAGGTAGAATGTTGCAAAATTTCTGTTGCTTTTATATACTCTATTGGATTAGATCTGGAGAACCCATCATAGTGGAGGTGATGAATTAACTGTGTGTGTGTGTGTGTGTGTGTGTGTGTGTGTGTGTGTGTGTTGGTTGAGTTTGCATCCAGTGCTTTATGTACGCGAGTGAGCACTCTTTCCCTAAACTACTGGAATTATTGAAGCTTGAATTAATGTTCACATTATAGCTCATATTATAAACTAATAGAGTAGCTTCTCATTTATCAATAAACACACTGCAGATACTGTATATTTAATGATAAATTGTTTTGAAAATTTGCAGTCTATGTCTAGTCTAGAGACAAAATAGCTAAACAAAAATTAAAATTACCAAAATATTTTAGAACACCCCACTACAATAATATTAAGTTGCTTATCCATGTTTAAAGAATGAAGTATGATAGGTTTTAATTAAATGCATATTTTCTGTTTTTACTTACAGTGGGTAACAACCCTATGCAAGGCATGTATATATGACTCACAGAGAGGTATAGGACACATCTATTCTCTCAGGAACTGAGTTTTAATATTTATCTTTTGGAAATTTTATACATGTTATTTTGATGCTTTATGTGGTACATATTAAATACTTGATGATTATGGATCTTATAATAAACAAATCTCATTGTTTTGTTTAGAGAAGTAAATGGTACAGGTGTGTTGACCATATAATGTATCCTAAAAAGTTACTTTTGAGTAATTTGCTAATGACAGCTTATTTTTGTTGCCTTGGCTTTTAAGAATTGTATTATGCAGGTTAATTGGGTTTTCACTGAAATTTTACTTCGTTAAAATGTTGGCAGTAAAAGATATTTAACCTGACTATGTGTGTTGAAGTCCAGTGGCCTTTGCATGTATGCACAATATTGTAGCTAACAGTGTAGAAAACTATTCCTGGTCCATTATTTGCTAATGATTTCCTAGTATTATCACTAAGTGTCTACTTAATTTTATGTATATTAATTAGGTCAAGTGTAACATTTGCAACTTTTAATAATATGTTTTTCATTTTGATTCTAAAGTATAAGAACAAATTCAAGTGGTTTCTTTTACCTATTGTCTCTTAAATTATTCATCTTAAAAATGCATTACATATGTAAATTTCTTTTAAAAATCAACTATGATTATATATTAAAATGATTTGTTGCTGTATCAAAGACTGGATTAGCATAAACACAGTTAGAAAACTATCAATTATTAACTACCACAGCCCACTTTCTTGCTAAGAACAATCATAGTTACTGTATTAGGATTAGTTATTTTGATGTTTTATTCCTTTACAGAGAAGAATTTGGTAAATGAGATCCTCATAATCCTGTATGTTCTGTTAATGCAACTATTGCTTCTTTTTTTATTTTATGGTTTGTTTAGTTTTTGTTTTCAGTACATCTGGTGTGCAGTTTCCCCTCCCTCTACTCCTCCATTTCTCCCCCAGATCCACTCCTCTCTTTTTGCTGCTGCTTCTGTTTTTTGGTTTTTCCTCAGACAGGGCTTCTCTATGTAGTTTTGGCTGCCCAGGAACTAGCTCTGTAGACCAGGCTAGCTTCAAATTCACAGAGATTCTCCTGCCTCTGCCTCCCAAGTGCTGGGATTAAAAGCGATCAAACACCCCCCCCCATTACCCCCACCCCTCCCACCCCCACACCCCACCCCCGTCCCCACATGAGCAAAAGTCGTTTTGCTTCTTAAGCACTGTTAGGAGACAGCATTTAGAACTGAGGGCTTTTCCTTAGCACTGATAGGTTGTTATATTCTCCTTGTAGTTGGAATTTGGTGTAGATGGGAGAGTGAGGTCAAGGTCAAGCTTCATAGCAGAATTAATTAGTCTTACTGACTTTGTTTCTCATTGTACTCAATGCTTATTATGCATTAATGCTTATCATTTTTAGGGTGACAGTCCTGCAGTCAAGGCAGCAAAGCCTTTGTGTTCGTTGGGATGCCTGTGTTTTTAAAATACTACTTTTAAAGAAGGAAAGGTGGTCAGGTTGTAACAGATGTGTTTGGTTCTTTCATCTGGTGCGAGAGAGTTTACTTTTTGAAAAGCTTACAGTAAAACGTTCTGAACATTATTTTACTATCTTTTTTGTACTGAATAAAATACCAGTATTTTTTTTATGTATGAACAATATTTTGCATATAACTAATTTTAAGGAAGCTAACTTTATTTTTTAATTGTCTTTTTAATTGGGCAAGTTATCTCCCTTTTTTCTATGAAAAACCTTATCACCACACAATAAACATTTAAATAGGCTAGCCTTCTTATGCAGGTTATCTCATACAATCTAAGGTAGTATGATTCATTGCTGTAGTTAAATGTCACCTTAACAGTAGATTTTAAATGCTTGCCAATGTACATACTGATGGATTTGGCTGAGTATTGATATACTTTTGCCTCACGTGCCTGATTATCATTGCCTTGTTTCTGCAGCTACGGAACCTTGGCCTGAAAATGCGACCTTATATCAGCAACTGAGAGGTAAGTTCTTATTCACAATTAAAAATGGCTTTGTGTTAAAATACACTTATAACAATAAACCCCCAAGTTAAACCGAACCAGCTGACCAACTAAATAAACAAACAAAACTCTCTGCAACCACCACATGCACTAATATAATTTCCTGCAATGAGAATGTAAAACACAAAGAAGGGATTCCCTCGTATAATTTGTCTACAAGGTTTTGCCTAAACTTGTATCTGCCAGGTAAACCAACTATTCATAGCCTATAAGGTCCTTAGTTTATTATTGACTCATTATATTGGCTGCTGTAGGCAGTGTAAAATGATGTGGTTGCAGGAGCACTTGGCAGATTTACTGCACCAATAGCTGAGACAGCAGATTTTTGAAGTCCTGTGGTAAAGTGGGCTCTCAGTAAAAAGGAACTGTTAAAATGTATAGGCTAGGATGGTTCAGGCTCCCTTTAGCAGCTCTTCATATATCATCAGATCACATTATGGACCCCATTTGGGGCTCAGCAGCCTGCTACAGTTGTCAGAAGACTGCAAAGTAATGAAGACTAATAGGCAGCAGCCCCCGTCCTCTAAGCATGGAATTTTTATTGCAGTGAACTTGTCATCTTTCTTTTGTGTGACAGACCTAGACACACTGTGCAGTAGTAACTATAAGCTGCTTTATGTGGTTGTGAATACTTTTACTTTAAACTAGAGAGATTGGAACAGATACTATTTTACTTCATTTTAATGAAAAGAAAAATATTTTTAAAAAATGTAAAAATGAATGTGTTTTTAAATAAGCAATTTTAATTGTTGATAAAATGAGATAAATGATCAAATAATTTTAGAACAATCCTATTTTATCACTTACACATGGTAATTTAATTGAAACTATTGCACAACAGCATTGATAAAAAGCTTCATAATTGCTTTAGTGTAGGATATCTCTTTAAAATAGAAATAGCTTTTAAAAATATTTTAATACATTTTGCTTATTTAGCAGTTGAACTTTGGACTTAGACCTTTCTTTATGTTTCCACAGGGGAGCAGATTTTGCTTTCTGACAATGCAGCATCTCTTGCTGTGCAGGTAAATATGTAAATAATGTAATTTTGTTCTTTGTGCTAGAGGATGTATATCACTTCGAGTTGCCGTCCACCCCCTACTGAAGTCTGATGCTGTATGTTTAGAGTTTTTGTGTGTGACTTCACCATTATCAGTATAATCTTACTCTTCTGTGAAGTCTAATTTTCTACAGTATTTTCAGTTGTCAGTATGTAAAATAAACTTCATTATCCATTCCTTTAAGCAAAAGTACTTTTAAATGGAGGACACCTTCTATCTTAGCAGTTGTTTTGGTTTTGGTTAGATACAGTATTTTATTTGGGGGTGATAATTTCACTTATATACTCAAAATTCTTTTCTAACTTATTTTAAAGAGTTATTCACTATATCTTTTTAATCATCATTCTGCTTATTATACACATGCTAACCTTAATTCTGTCTGTTAATCTTGAAGCAGATAGATTCTTTCTAGCTACTCTTCATATATTTATTGATTATATGTGTATTTATTATTCCCAGTCCACTTATTGCGTGCAATTGCTTTTTAAATTTTATGTTATAGTTGTGTAATCCAAAAAAGATGTTTGGCAGGGTAAACTTAAAATTGCGCTATGAAATATGTGGAGAATTGTTTATTTGAAAAAAGTCAATGTTTCTGCATATTGTAAAATCATATGAACATTTTCCATATTTAGCTGCTAAGGTACTTAGTTCATGTAGTTGGAATCACAAAAGATTGGCTGTGCAGCATGTAAAAGGAATCTGAAGATTAGTGGTATTTATTGGAGGTGAGACTGGGCTGCTGGAGGACAAAGAAAGGGAGGAGAAAGTAGTTATCAAGCTTTTGTCATGTTGGAGGCATAATGCTAAGCATTTAATTTTAGGTCATCCCATTTAGATTTCTTGTTTAATTTGATAACCTTTGGTTTCAATGCCAGTGTCGAGTACTGTCATTCAGTATGTCAGTAGATAGTATGGTATTCAGTTCGTCTTTGTTTTAAGGTGGAGAAGGAAAGAAAGATGGGAAGAAGTGTGCTTGGGCAAGAATTTATTAGTTGGTGGATCTAATATGTTTCTTTTACATTAGCTTTATATCTATCTTTTACCAAGAGTATAAATTACAATTTTGCCTTTATTTTTTATTTAAATTCTATTTAATTTTTATTTTCTTTTTATCTTAACTTTTGATAAATAAATTTTTAGTTATGTGCAATAAATATAGCCTTTATACAGATTTTGTCAATCTCTTTAGTGAGAGAAATGGAATTTAACATTTTACACACACACACACACACACACACACACACACACACAAAACATAGTTGCCTGGAATAAAGAATGCACTCGGTAGATGTACATTGTGTAAATGGTTTGTTAGTGTGATGAAGCAGTCTTGCCTGATAAATGACAGTGCAAATAAATTATTTGCTGTGTATAAAATAATATTTTCAGTCTTTGTATCTTTGAAGTGATAGCTTCAGGGCATAGTGAATATTTTAGTTGAAGCACTGTTTCTTGACCCCTTTTAATTGCCATTTGGGGGATAGCTCTTTAAGGATTTTACCAAGCTAATTAACATCTTTTTCCCCAGAAAAATCACTGCATGCAGTAAAAGAAAAATGTACCCAGGCTACTTTATATGTGATTTCAGCAGGTTTACTCCTTACTAAAGTCATGTAAGGATCACTTACGAAGAGCCCTTAAAATGAAATAACATTATTGTAGGGAGTACTGCAGTAATTAATTTTGAACAAATAGGAAAGAATTTTGGGTAGGAATAGACTAAGGATTCTCAGCCAGGGAGAGTTTGGCTCCTTGAAGCTGTGAGGGTGGTTAAGCATGTGGGTTGTCAGAACTATGGGAGGAATACCATTGGATATCCCTGTTGGGTAGACAGGGATGCTGCTCACTCACTGTTCCACAGTGTATAGGTCAGCGCTCTAGTTCCAAATAAAATGGTGTCAAGTTTGAACAGCCAAAGGCTAGATGGTTTAATCAGTTTTTGCACAAAGCAAAATATCAGAATATTACTATTTTAAAAATGGATATTTAAGTTTTTCTTGGAAGGGAAGATAAAAAGACCCAACTTGGTATATATTCTTGTTGTTATGGTACCTATTAATTTGTTTTCTTACCCTAGTTTCTCAAATCACAGTTGCAACTGAAAATAACACCAAAAAGACCTTTTAAAATAATTGAATTTTGCTTAACCATTTCAATTTTTTATCCTCATATGTCACTTAGATGATAAATTAACTAGCATATATTAAAAATCCTTGGTTTTCTTCAATATTCTTTGACTTGACAGCTGATAGTAGCCATGACTATAAATGTGACTTTCCCACATATCTGATATAAACTTTATGGAGTAATTTTCTTGTATATAGAGCAAAAGCATCTGTTTAGAAGAACCAGCTAAGGGCTTTATGTCTGATGTATAAAATTGATCAAAAAAACGTGACAAGTATCTATAAACTGTATATTTTCTAGAAGATACCAGATATAAAACATTGGACATTTTAATAGTCCGCCAATTATGCCATCAGGAAATTCAAATTTTACTTATCACAAAGGCAGGTGTTTATTATATTCTAGAAGCTAAGTGCTTGGCTATTTGTAATGAAAGGCACCTTTATGACTTCAGTTTAAAAGAAAATCATTTTCTTCCCGGTGATCATTTCCTGGTGATGTGCTTTCTTTGTATCTTCTATCTACAAATAGAGACTCACCTGAGTGCTGTTTGATCCTAATGTGATCTTGATTCCTGACTATAGTGAAAAGTTAGTCTGATATATTTTCATGAGCTCAGTGTTTATGTAACATTGTGTACACACGCATGCATAGAGACATTTCTCATTTTAAAGTGCTACTTTGAGGGACTTAAGCTTATATTGTTTAGTAAAACAAACTTGATAATTCTGTTACTATTGTCTCTTACACTCCAAACTTAGACCAACTATCCAGTAGATAATATAGTGCTAGCTACTAAGTAATACAACATTTCTAGTACCTTCATAAAAAAATTAATTTTAGTAATGTTTTACTTAGCTCAGTATATCAAAATATTATCATATAATCAATACAAAATTTATTTTACTTTTTTCAAATTGAATTCAAAGTCTGATGTGTACATTTAGAATATATCTCTTTGTGTTAGCCATATTTCATATGCTCAATAGTCATATGTAACTGTTGGCCCTTGTATTGGACAGTGCTAGTTTAGAAACACAGCATAAACAAACACATATGAATTCTTAAGCTTTTTACAAAAAAAAGCTTTTAAAAAAACTTGTTCTTGGTGTGTACTTTATTCCTTTAATCCCAGCACTCAGGAAGCAGAGGCAGGCATATCTTGGTTGAGTCCAGTCTGGTCTACATAGTGAGTTCCAAGACTGCCAGGGTCTCAACAACAACAGCACTGTTGTATTATATTTTGTTTGTGTTCTGGCAAATAAAGCTTGCTTGGAGATCAGAGGGTAGAGCTAGCCACTAGTTAACCATAGAGGCCAGGCAGTGGGAGGCTCACGCCTTTGATCCAAGCACTTGGGAGGCTCATGTCTTTAATCCCAGCACTAGGGAGGTGGAGACAGGAATATAAGGCAGGTAGAGACAGGATCTCAGCCCATTGAGTCTGAGGATTCGTAGAGACAGGTTGCTCCTAGTTAGTGAGATTTTGTAGAGATAAGAAGTTTCTGGTGGCTGGCTGCTCTGCTTCTCTGATCTTTCAGGCAAGCTTTACTTGTCAGAATACAAACAAAATATCATGCAACAACAGCACAAAAGAAGTTATGTCTATACTGATTCAGTCAGAGTATGTTTTATTTTATAGCAAATTCCACAAAGAGAAATGGGCTGTTCCAAGGAGAGTATACCTTAAGAACTCTGTTTCAAGTTTCTTCTTCTATAAAATAGACATAAAGTAGATGCTGCCCATTGGCTAATGGGAATTGAATGTATTAACATATTTAAAACATTTAGAAAGATATTTGGAGTATTGTAAATATGCAGAGGATGTTGATTATTTCCATCTGTCCTGATTCTTGACAGAAATACATTTAATCAATTTCAACAAGATAATTAGAAGCTTATAGGCTTGATAATACCTACAGAACACTACCAGGAATAAATGTTATATATAAGGTTTTAAGGAGAACATTTTTATATTGACATGAACATTAATAGTTTTTATAACCACATTAAATACAGGATTTTGTGAATTCTTTGAGAATTTCATACATGGATTTTGATCATATTTACCCTACTACTCCTTCCCCACCTTCTTCTAGATCCATTCTCCATCCTCACCCTTTCTCATCCTCCTGTCCTTTCTTCTTCTTTTTTTAAAAAATTTATTTATTTGTATTTTATGTACAATGGTGTTTTGCCCACATGCATGTCAATGTGAGGGTGTGGGATCCTCTGGAACAAGATTTACAGACAGTTGTGAGCTGCCAGGTGGGTACTGGGAATTGAACCCCGGGTCCTCTGGAAGAGCAACTAGTGTGCTCTTAACCACTGAGCCATCCATCCCTCCAGCCCCCTTTTTCTTCTTTTTATTCCCCACCAAGGCCAGTTTCTGCTGCCCATATACTTCTGGGTCTGAGACTATCCACTGGAGCATGGATAACCATGTTTTCATGCTATGCCTAAAAATGTTATTATTCAATGTGTATACCTAATGTTATTTCAGAATATTCAAATTTGTTTTAAAATTTAACATTAAATATGTTTGTGTATACTCAACTCTACTGAGAGCTTTTATGTAGAGTATTATGATCAGTCCTTACTACAGCCTAATGCAGGGTGCTACTGTACTCTTAATTTTTTAAATGTGGGGCTAGAGAGATGTCTTAGTGGTTAAGAGTACTGGCTGCTCTTCCAGAGGACCCTGGTTCAGTTCCCAGCATCCACGTGGTGGCTCACAATTGTCTGTAACTCCAGTTCCAGGCATCACATAGTCAAAGATATACATGCAAAATACCCACACATGAAAAAAAAAATTAAAAAAAATCAAAATGTGGCAC